TTTTGTCCAGAAATAAGTGTTCGCATTTTCAAGCATTATGTGAAACCAAGTTCTGGAACTGATTCTAACGGTTAAGTGTTATCTTCCCTTGTCTCAGTCCTAGAAAATGTCAAACAGAAATGCAAATCTGTACTGTGCAGACTTACTCTTTAAAATGAAAATATTTCAGTCATTGTTGTATCTTTTCAGTTTCAAAAAGTAACTCAACTTTAATTGCAGTGAATAGAATGTCACTTTAATGTATTTGGCTTACGGTATTTTTTAAACAAGCATTTTTTTCTCTTTAGAAAAAGAGATGCTGGCAGTGAGATCCCTGTCATAGTGACAGAGTAGGTCGTGCACTGCACATGTCTGGGGTTGGTTCAGACGGGCTAGTGTTTTCTGCAGTATTAGTACAAACAGTGCACATACGAACATGCTTTCAGAATCTTAAACTTTGGAATTTCCTGTCTAATGTTTATCTAAACTCCTAAGTTTAAATTTGCTTTGATACTATTTCAGTTGAATTTTTTTGAGCAAAGAGAAAAGTTTTTCTTCAAGGAGTAAAAATAATTGTGAAGTTCTGTAAATTTGTTTTCTGCCATCATCAAAGCAGTATATCATAGAATGGTTTTGGCTACTAAATTTATTACAAGAAACACTTATATTTAGCCAAATGATGGGAATTAAATATTCTGTTAATAGATGAATGAAGACAGTTTGGAGCTATTTAGGAAAAACTTAAGGGAACTTTGTATGGAAAAGACATAAGCTTGTGTCTGGTGATGAAGGAGTTACAGAGAGTGAGGGAACGTGGGGAAAGGCTCGTGTGCGTGGACGTGGGGCAGGTGGCAGTCCTTTCTGTTCCCAAGACAGGTGAGTCTGTGTAATCACTAGTTCCTTGGAGCTAGTGCCCATCGGGGTTTTCCAGCTCCCCACCCCACCCCAGCCCAGCAAGCTTCCACGTCCACTTTGTTGTGCTTTGACGGTATTTCATGTCAGGCAGTGACATCTGTTCATGATAGATAATAAGACTTGAAAATGTAGAGCGCCAATACTCAACCCTCCTGGGGCCTGCCGGCGGCCACCCTGCCACCTGGGGTGGTCCTTCGCTCTCCTTGCGGCTCCCCTGCTTTCTTTACCACTGAACCTCCGTGCTCCATCGTCACCCCAGCCTTGCAGGCCCTCAGCTCCCTCGCCCCTCACTTCACCGTGCTTACCTGGCAGAGGCCTGCCCCAGCAAGTCCGTTCCCCGCCCCCACATCACCGGTGGCCCGACATGGGCAAGCACCCCATGTCCTGTTACTGGCACACTACCCCCCATTGGATGGCTGTTCTGTTCCTCTTCCTGCCCTCCCCGGGCACCTTGCCCACCCTTAGGCTCAGCACGCAGGTCTCTGTTCCTCAGAGAAAGGGGAAGAGATGCAAAGAGGACGTCTGCATTCCTGCCACACACCCACCCTGTGTCTGGCTCTGAGTCGGCATGTTCGACTGCCTCTCCTTTTGCTGTGGGTGAGCTGTGTGCTCCCAGGAGAGGCCACCCTCCACACTTACCACGTGGCCCAGTCTGCTCCCAGCTCCTCACAGTGGTTACTGTGTCAGCTCCCTCCTTTCCCCGGGCTGAGCTGCAGAGGGTCTGTCTTGACCCCGTATCTTCTTTCACCCCTGCCCTGTTTCCGCTGACCCACCTACAGTGAGTGACTGACTCCACCTGCCACCTCCGTCCTTCCTCCTGGGAGACTTGACACTCCCCTCCCCAGGTTTCCTCCTGCCGCCTGCCCACGCCGGCACCCCTCCTTTCCCAGCCTCCCCCGGGGCTCGCGCCGCCTCTCCTCTTGGCCGCGCTCAGCCCCCGCCAGCATCCCCGAGAGCGCCAGGCGGGGAGCTGCCGCTCTGTGCTGACGTTGCCACCCCAGTGCCTTCGGGTAGCTCCAGTGAGGCTTGTCCGGACCCGGGCTCTTCATCTCCCTCACAGCGTGCTCTTCCCGCAGACATTCCCGTCCCAGAACACGGTGGCTCTCTGCTTCGCCTGCTCCAGCTGGAATCCTGGGAGTCATCCTGGGCCTTTCCCTCTCAGATCTCTTGGCTCTGTCCGCAAACCCTGTTGGCGCTCCCAGCAGACACGCCCAGACCCACCTCCCTGTGGCATTCTCCCTCACCCTCACAGGCTCTTCCGAACAAACGTCCAGAGGGCCCGTGTCTGCGGGCGGCAGGCACAGCAGGTGGCATGTTGGGGATGTTGGAGACTCGTGTTCCGTCTCGAGGATTCTTTCATGTCCTCCTTGGTCTCAGTTCAGGCCCTCTGCTCCCAGGGGTTACTGCTGTGGACTCCGCTGCTTTCTCGCCCTTAATCTCCTCCTCCAGCCCAGCTTCCGCTCTGCTCTCAGGGCCTCCGTTTATCCAGCAAACTCATTTTGAGCACAGCCTTTGGGCCAGGCCCTGCCTGGGACTTTGAACAGTTTTGCCCACTCTCTGTCCAGGGCCCTCAAAGTCTGTAGACAGACAGCTCCCAGAGCCTGCAGGATGAAGCCCAGACTCCGTGCTGGGCACACAGGACCATTGCAGTCCAGCCTCTGCCTGCTTCCCTCCTCACCTCACCCCTCCTGCGTGCCACCCGCGGATGCCCGGCCCCAGGGCAGTGCCTGTGCTTTTTGGAGGGGCTCTCACCCGCTGGAGAGCCGGTTCCTGTTGGCGGTTCAGTCCAGGCGCCGTCCCTTCAGCAGACTTACATCCAAGCACGCCCGCCTCTCATCATAGGTGACTTCTGCCTGCTCCCGCGGCAGCCCGGGCAGCTCTCACCCAGAGCACCGAGCTCACTGGGGTCGTTGCTCACTTGCCCATCTGTTCTGTGGGGCCCCTGCGGGGCAGCCAGCTCGCCTCTCTGGTATTCACCCAGACCAGATGTGCAGCCGTTTCTTGGGTGAGTTGTGACTTCCATTTAGGACAGCAGCATCAGCTCATGGCTCATGGTTTGACACATCTCTTCTCCAAAATTAAATTTAAACAGAGAAACAAACTGAAAAATATAGCCAGGCCCCCAAAGAGAAGAATACCCTTTAGCACAGACCCAGGCTGCCGCGTGGGGAGCATGGGTTGGCTAGGTTCCTTGGCCTGCTGAGCCCCGAACTCCAAGCAGGCAGCAGTGGGAGGAAGCTCGGGTCCCGCAGGTCATGGTAATAGGAACTGAAGTGTTCAGTGGAACTGGAACGAGGTTCAGACTCACTCTGTGAAGTGGGGTTGGATGAAGTTTCCCCCGCCAAGGCCCCTGTACCTCGGTTCTTGTAGGAAGCTGTGGGTCCAGGGAGGGTAGGGAGCAGTACCCTGGATGCCCAGAACTGCCTGTTGGTCGGTTCTCCAGCAGCATCTGCACTGTCTCCACTGGGGCAGGCAGCAGGGCCCTGAGTCACCATGGTAACATAGTTCTGGCCCGAGGCCTTGGACCCCAGGCAGGGAGGTGGGCGCCGGAAACATCACATCCTCCTCAAGGTGAGCTGGATCCCAAGTCCCACGACACCAGGACGTCTCGTCCTGTGACCTCTTCCCAGAGCCAGCTCCTTACAAAACCATACGCTCACTCCTTGTGAAATTTGTGGATGGTCTGGCAGAACTGTCAGCATAAGTATGTTTAAGATGCTTAAAAAGATAAATTAACATCCATGAAAAGCAACTAGAAATTGGAAAACAAAAACAGACAAAAATGAAACAAGAGCATGAGGGCAAGGCCAAAAAGCAATTTGAAATCTAGTAAATGAAACAGATGTTAGAATGATAAACTTTGGATTGGACATAATCAAAGACAGATTTAGTGAATTGGCATTTTCTTCACGACATTGACCCAGATTGCAGCACAAGGAGGACATTGTGACAAATGAAAATCCAGGGCCCTGGGTGCAGGCAAGCTGGGGGCCAGCTCTGCCCCTCAGCCTCGGCTAGTTTGAGACGGGCTTTCTCTCACCTGCGACAGGAGGCATGTTTTCTGATGCAGGATCTCAGTGATTAGATGAGAACTCTCATTAACGCTGAGTATTAGATGGTGTGACAGTCAACTGAAGTCAGTTGTCAGAGGAGATGTAAGTCAGGGTATTCAGTATCATTCATATTGGCACATCCAAAAGAAATCTTTGAAACTCAGGAAGGAAAAGGAACTTCCTGGGAGAACATGGAGAGGAGACGTAGTCTGTTTGGCTGCCCCTCCCTCCCTGCTTCCCAGCCACGAACCCTGTCGTTGAATGCTGCCAGCCAGCTCTCTGAAGATGTATCGACACTGGACACAATCTTTGACGGGTTCAAAGACACATTTGGAATATTTCTATCCAGAGTTACTGAAATTTCTTTGTGTTTGCAGGTCTACGCCGAAGCACTGAAGAGTTCACATTCTTTAGCTAATCTGTGCGCTCAGGAGCAGCCTTGTCTCCAAAGAGCCTTATGTGTGTGTGTGTGTGTGTGTGTGTGTGTGTGCGCGCGCGCGCGCGTACACGCGCGCATTTCTGTGTAAATTGTAAAATACATGTAACATAAATTGACCACATTAACCAGTTTATTGAACGGCTGGGTGACGTCAGTGAAGCCAGGCTGACAGACTGGTCTCAGGGCGCCATCACCCTTTCTCCTGGGGACACTCCAAAGCCTGGTGGCCTTATAGGCCTTTTTCTTTATTCTTCCAGTGGTTCTGGGTCACACTTCTGTGAGTCATTTAAAGGTGTCTTTATCCACTTTGGTCTTAGGATTTATGTTCAGGAAAATATCTTGGGCGTCCCTGGATCTTGAGAGGGCAGGCTTGGGTTCCCTGCCCTAGCTCCCCGTGTGCGTGCCAGGGCCAGGTGCAGGGGAGACAGCACGTTCGCACTACGGAAGTGTGTGTGGTCTTGGGCTGGTCCTCTTTCTCTGGAGGATCAGGGAGTTCCTGTGTATCCGCTGGTGGGAGTTGCCTTTGTGTGAGGACTGGAGAGGCTTGGCAGGAGCCAGTCTTTAAAGGATCTCTATTTTATCTTATTTTATTTTATTGTTTTACTGTTTTCTAGGAGTTTGCAGCACTTACTAAAGAACTCAATGTATGCAGGGAACAGCTCCTTGAAAGAGAAGAAGAAATTGCTGAACTGAAAGCGGAAAGGAACAACACCAGGGTCAGGATGCAGACTCTCACTGTTGTAACATTTGCCTCCGGGTCACCGTTGAGATCGGCTTTGCTGTCTTTAAACTCACAAGATGATCCATTCTGTTTGGTTTTAAACGCATTTTCGACATTTTCCCTCTGAACTGAATGATTATCAGTTCAGTGTTCTCATAACCTTGCTTGCAAATTTATGAAAATTAATGATATTTTAATACATTTGGGGGGACCTTCTCTAACTTTAGGCTGATTTGAAGGGATTCAGGCTTGTCTTAGCCTGAGATTGAAAGGCATATGTGCCCAGATTCAAGTAGGAAATTGAAAGTGCTCTTTAAAACCTGTGTTCATTGTCCTTTTCTTCCAGCTGCTGTTAGAACATTTGGAATGCCTAGTCTCCAGGCACGAGAGGTCGCTCAGGATGACAGTGGTGAAGAGGCAGGCGCAGTCCCCAGCGGGCGTATCTAGCGAGGTTGAAGTACTCAAAGCACTAAAATCTTTATTTGAACACCACAAAGCTCTGGATGAAAAGGTACCTTCAGCCACAGGGCAGTTCTTAATTTGTATACATGCTATGTCATTGGACGGACATCGTAGGTGTTTGTGTAACTTTGATTTACTTTTGACCTTGAATTCTTGTAAACAAGTTTTTTTTCTGTAAGAAGACAGTTCTATATGATTAAAAAGTGTTAGTTGGCATAAATGTCTAAGATTAGTTATATCCTGGGGGGAGGGTATAGCTCAAGTGGCAGATAGCATGCTTATACTCCTCCAAGTATAAATGAGTAAATAAACCAAATAATCTTCCCCTCATAAGACAAAAAAAGATTTATTATATTCTGTATATTGATTTTTTATTAAGAATTGGGTAATATAATTTATTTAGAGGGAAGATTTTTTTCAAACTTAAAATTTAAAGCTGTTGAGGGGGAGGGTAGAGCTCAGTGGCAGAGTGTATGCTTAGCATGCACGAGCTCCTGGGCTCAATCCCCATTACCTCCATTAAAAAAATTTTTTTTAATTAAAATAAATGAATAATTAAATAAACCTAAGTACCTCCTCCCCCTGCAAAAAAAAAAAAGGAAAAAAGAGCTACTGACAAGCAGGTTTTCTTGACATTAACATCAATGAAAGAGACTAAAGGTATCCTATTATGTTATATTACAGTAATAGTATATTAGGATAACTATACACTAAGAGTTAAATTAACACACATACGGTAACTCAGCCCCTTTTATTTTCAGGTGAGAGAGCGATTACGAGTAGCACTTGAAAGGTGTAGTTTGTTAGAAGAAGAATTAGGTGCCACCCACAAAGAGGTAAGCTTGATAAATCATCCTATGATTTGATTGGGGTTTAATTTGTGTCCCTTAATCAAACAAAAAAAAGCATGAAGACTAGTTGTGGATGTCAGATGTCGTTTATCTTTCTGATTGAGGACCAGCCTATGTGAGTCGTTGCAGAGTAAGCCAGGCTTTCATTTCAGAGTTGCCGAGTCTCTGAGTGCCCGCTGGTTCAGCGGACGATAGTCCGACGTTAGCAACCTGGCTGTGTCTGGGGTGGGTAACATCGCCCCGTGTGTTTTCTTTTTACACTGTTTTACAGTTTACAGTTGTGTTTCTCCAAGTGGAGTTTTGCTACTTGTTTCTTTACTCTCATATTCCACTTTTTGGTTTTAGCTAATGATTCTGAAAGAACAGAATAACCAGAAGAAGACGCTAACCGACGGGGTGCTTGACATAAACCATGAGCAGGAAAGCGCTCCGAGCGCAAACGGAAAGGCAAGTCGCCGGCCCTCTCTCCGTGCGGCCCCGGCTGGCAGGAGTCAGTTGTGACTTTTCGCGTTTCCCGGGAGCTCTTTCTCTCCTTGCTCACCAAACAGGGCTGTCTAAGGATTCCTTTCCCCCACTAGAGATCGTCCGATGGGTCTCTCAGTCACGAGGAGGACCTTGCCAAGGTGGTGGAGCTCCAGGAGGTCATAGACAAGCAGTCAAGAGAGCAGAGCCAGATGAAGGAGCGCCTGGCGGCCCTCTCCAGCCATGTGACGGAGCTGGAGGAGGACCTGGACACCGCCCGAAAAGACCTCATCAAGTCTGAAGAGATGAACACGAAGCTGCAGCGAGACGTTCGCGAAGTGAGTGGCCGTAGCAGGGTTGGTGACGCCATGGGGCTGAGTGTGTGGGCTGTTTGGGTTCGATGGCCCCTCACCCCCCACCCCCGTTGCCTCCATCTTGGGCTGGTGTGTAAGTAAGAGCAGAATAGAGTGGTCCTGGGGCTGATTGGCTGCGTCCCCCATTGCGTGGTCAGTCTCCTCTCCCTGATGTCCTCAGAGGCGGGGAGGCCTGGTCTGGCTGCTGCGCGACATGGGGGCGGCCCTGCTCCTGCGCTGCGCCACGGCTCTGTCGCGCCTAGATGCGCGTCCCTCGCTTCTGCCTGTTCTGGGCTGTCTGGGCTCAGGCTTCCCTCTGGTGCACAGGGTTCCCCCGGCGGGACTTGCGCCCAGTCTGTGAGCTCTGTTCGGGGGCAGTGTCGGGCGTCTTCTGCTTTTCTGACCTGCCTCGTGTGCTGCGCCTTGAATGAGTAAATGGTGCCAAGTGTCAGTGGTCAGACGGAGCGGGGTGGAAATGCACCTACGTCAGATGTCACAGATACTCACCTGTATGATCGGCACTCACCTGATTGATCAGAAACCACCAAATTCTCCCTGTAAAAGTGAATGGGTGCTGGATGCTTCTGGTGCCTCTCTTGTCAGTGTCACCTCTCCTTTATGAATAGGCAACCCCCCATTCCCCCCACCCCGTGAGACCACCACAGAGAGAACCCCTTTATGTATGGATGCAGAGCAGTTTTATTTTCTGTTTAGCAGCTTGGTGTGAATAATTTTGTGTAGAATTCAAAACAAAAATACATGCATATATTACATAGTCTATTTATGTTAGTCTTGGGCGACAGTAGGAGATTGTGTGGCAGAGTACAATATGCAGAGAAATTTGGAAATTTTTTTGACTTGTCACTTCTAATATTAAACTTTGCTAGCATTCGTTACATAGCAAACAGGGAGGGGCCTGCAATGAGCTTTGAGCGTGGGGTACAGGAATTGCTCTAGTAGAGAGTTCTGGTCATGGTATCAGCGTCTGATTCTGGGTGATGAAATTTTGCTTTAGAATGTTGCTTCCGGTTGTATTAAACTTTGACTTCCGTTTCTGTTTGTTCGTATTACTGCTTTAATTTTCTGGTAATTGGATGAGGTTCTATCTGCCTTTTACCTGACAAAACAAGATACTGTTGTGTCTGTTGAGGGGCCACTCGCTGTCCTGGGTGAAGTCCACTTGAGTCGTGAGGCAAACAGAGGGCCTGTCTTCGTGGCAGATACCTTCACCTGGAATTTTTGCAGTAGTGGGATATTTTGTTATCCTTTTTTTGTGAAATAATATATAGAAAAGGATAAGCTTTGGTAAACTGAGCGGCTGGGCATAGCATTAAGACAGATGAGTGCTGACCATGCAGGTGAACATTTGTACTTGATGTAGGTGTGTTTTCATTTGCCTTGGAGAATATTGGCCTCTGTCAGTTTAATTTTGAGGACATGAACTTTTTATTTGATTGGAAAATTAGGATTTAGTCCACCCTTTTCTCTCTCAAGTGTGTCAGTGTGCTACCTGTTACTCACCTGTTGCCCTCTGAAATGCCCGATGCAGGCCATGGCCCAAAAGGAGGACATGGAAGAGAGAATCACTACTCTTGAGAAACGCTACCTCGCAGCACAGCGTGAGGCCACCTCTGTGCACGACCTCAACGACAAACTTGAAAATGAAATTGCAAATAAAGATTCCATGCATCGACAGGTAGTGGTTTTATTGAACTCTGTCTGGCTTTTATTGATTAATGACGTTAAAGACCTTTTCCCGTGACTGTCACATTGGAAGTCAAGCCCCAGTGGTCTTTTCATGACCTTGGAATGTTACGCTCACAAGTGTGGGTGACTTCAACTTACAGGTTCTACTTACTTAGGATTTGGTTGAACCTTTTTCTGGAGCTACACTCCTGATTCTTTTCTTTTGTTTTAAGTGAACAGTAATCTGTTGCTTGTTAGCATTTTTACCAAAAGAGCAGACAGTGGCAAAGAACATCAAGGCAGCTGGCTACCCCAGTTAGTCACTGGGGTCAGCGTGATAAATGGCAGATTTAGAATTGCAGCCTCAGTAAATTTTGTGCCTCCTGTGGTTTGGTGAGCCATGCTCGCTCCTGTTTCAGTGTGGTCTCAGGTAATCAAGGGTTAACCGAACACCCAAATCCACTTCTTAAAAGTGAAATGAGTTTGTCTGATATGTTATGAATTATATCATTAGGCCCAAAATAAAGATAAAAAATAAAATACTAGAAAGCCATCAAAATTTATAGTGTGGAATGGTGTGCAATATAATGACATTAAAAGACAGCTCATACTACTACATGTGAGGATTTTATTTTCTGAGCGTTTTAAAGCATAATATATCATGTGTCTGTGCACACAGAGATGAGTGCACACAGAAGAAAGAAGAAAAGTGCATGGGGACATGGTAACCTCTCAGGGACCTGAACTTAGAGATGATTTATAATTTTTTTTTAAACTCTCTATTTTCTACATTGAAATTTTTTAGAGTAAGAGGACTTTTTAAAAAGAATAATCATACATTCACCAAAACAATGTGACTTGCATTTTGTTAGGCGCACTGTCAGAAGGTCAGTGTTTCAAAGGCGGTGAAAGCTGTGTTGTGGCTTACCTGCCCGGCGGCCTGCCGGGGCAGTGTTGCCTTCAACGCCAAGTCTGATGGTTTTTAAAGAAGGGTTAGTCCAGTCAGTGAGAATGAATAAGCTTCCACAGAATTGTCTTTTAAAGATTTCTTTGGAGGTATTTAGGAAAAGCAGATACTTTGGCAGGAGATGTTTTGCATGTTGAAATCAGGCCCAGGAAAATGGGTGCGTACTCCTCACAGAAAGAGAAGTTTTGCTCCAAAGCAACTGCCAAAGCAGTTGTTTCCTTTGGGACTAATTTGAAAGACACCTGCGTGTAGGTTTTGCTTCTGTTTATTGAACATGGAAACGAGTGGCTCGCGGGTTTGCCCTGTTTGATCCTTGGCTCTCATTTCGCAGACTGAGGACAGAAACCGCCAGCTACAGGAGCGGCTGGAGCTGGCGGAGCAGAAGCTGCAGCAGACCCTGCGGAAAGCGGAGACGCTCCCCGAGGTGGAGGCCGAGCTGGCCCAGAGGGTGGCCGCGCTCTCTAAGGTGCTGTCTTGGCTCGTGCTCGGGGTCAGACGGCGGGATTGGGGTCTTGAACATGACGTGTTCACGTGCCTTGTTGTTCTTACGTTCTTGCGCCACGAAATAGCTCAGACTGGTTCTCAGTGCTGCTTCGTCTGGCATACTTGTAAGATGTCAGGTGTCGTCCCCGTTTTTTGTCATCCCTGAGTTGACCCCCTCCGGTTTTGCCACGTGTGCTGTTTGTGCCCCGTGCGCGTCACCTGAGGGAGAGCCGCTGCTGCTTAGAGCTGTTTAA